ATGCCTACTTCGTTCTCATTCTCTTTCTTTTTTTTAAGGCAATTGGGGTTAAGTGACTTGCCCAGGGTCACACAGCTAGTAAGTGTCAAGTGTTTGGTCTGAGGTCAGATTTGAACTCAGGTCCTCCTGAATTCAAGGCCAGTGCCCTATCCACTGCGTCACCTAGCTGCCCCATTATTATCCTCTTATTGAGATAATTCTCTGTTAACACTATTCTAAATGTGGGGGTCCAAATGGTATGACGCAATGGTCTCCAGTCTGAAGGAGTCCTTTAGACAGAATCCCATGTTCTTTCTTCTCCAGCAGCCGCAGCCTTCTCATTCTTCGGGAACTGATAGTATCTAGAGTCCCTCTTCATTTTTGTGTGTCACTTTTAAGGTCAGGGCCCTTTGGCTTCCAAAATGGAATGCAATGTCTTGCTTTCATTTCTCATATCTTCCATCTTAAAAAGTTCAAGGGGACTTGTGTATCCCAAAGTCCAACCTCAACATATCAATTAGTGGCAAAAGATAACACACAAATCTAAAAATAAAAGGGATGGCTATAGCTGCTCACAATCCAACATCAATCACCTTAACATTTCCTAATTTGGGAATCTGGTCCTCAAATCTAGTTTATCTATCCAATCCAATTCAGACCCAATTTTGACTTAATAGTCCCTCGATCTTCAGTTACCAACATCAGACTTTTCTAAAACTATCCACCCCCTTAATATTGTCTGCACTCAAAAAGGGACAAGTGGAGAAAATGAGAATGTACTCCTACATGATCTCTGTTAGTTAAAACCAGTTTTCCAAAGTCTGTAGTGTTACTGTAATACTTTTTTCAGAATCATTGCATTCAAATGTTCAAACAGGATTCCACTCTCCAGTTTTAGAAAGAGATACTGGATGTCACCAATGTTGTTAATATTCAAACAAATACAATCTCATTGATCTACATATTCCCTTCAGTGAAGTAGATCTCAATCCATCCATGCCAAGTCATCTTCTGTAACTTTGGTCCATTTCATCCTATAAGTTCATTTCAGGATGTCCACCTAATGTATTGGACGACTTCTTTGCCATCTCCTGGATGCCAGGAGAGCATTTTGACTCTCCACCTATTCTCCCATACCCACTCCAACCTATCTTTTCTTCTATCATTTAGTTCCTGGTCAATATCTTCTACTCCTCGTCTTCCTCATTTTCAGAATTCCTTGTTGGTTGTATGTTGTGGCCTGCTCATATCCACTCATTAGCCCTAATTAAAATTCAAAGAATAAAAATAAAAATTTATTACTACCAATGATAGTCTAATCAGATTAACTTGAATGCATATCCAAATTATTCATATGGATGAAATACCCCATGCCTACAGCTCTGAATGTTGGTATTCTATAGTGATTGCTTTCAAAAATCATTACAGAAAATTGAATCAAATTCAATGTGTACCACCTCGGCATAGGTGGAAGCCTCTTTTCCTATAAATGAAAATCAAATAGGCTACTAATTTCATCTCAAATAGTAAAAGAGATATAGTCAGAATTATATAAAAGCTTATTTTCCATGACATTATAATTTGCAACCCACCAGATCAATTTAACCACATTGTGCACGCGCGCGCACACGCACACACACACACACAATTCTGATTAATTTTACCAAAATGCAAAATATAGAAAAAATATTCAGTCTGAAGTCATTTGCCAGCTCATGCTCCCATCTCAAAGCATCATTTAGCTACTTATTCCTTGGTCTTCTTTTCAGACAGAAATTTGTAATGCAGAGAAACTCACATACTGATTAAGTAGCCCTATAATAAATTAATTTAGAGTCTGAAACATACTGTCCTATGCTGGACAGTTTTAAGAAGGTAAGTCAGCTAACATTTTCTTATCCAAAACCCAATTCGTTAATTCAGAAGACAAACGATCTCCCAATTCAAATAAGTCCTTTCCCCAATTAAATACAGATCTAAATTCATGAAGCCCTTTGTTTTGTTTTTCCTCCACTAAAAATGTCAGCATTCACCCAATCCCTCAATTGTAGAGTCAGAAATTTTAGGTAATTTCTAGCTTCCCATTCCATTCCCACTTTTCCATTGCTAAAGAAAGACACCAAACTTATCCCAAACCAAATCAACTCTGACACACTAGTACATATACATTTAAATACACACACACACACACACACACACACACACACACACATTCAGATTTAATACTGAACTCTAAAATCATTCCTAGTAACCATTTGCTTAAGGGACTATACCAAATCCTTTACACAAATACAAGCAGAGGCAGTGTCCCACAGGGATGAATTTAGCCAATTTTCCTTAACTGCAATCTGTTAGTCATCCAGTACCTATAAAACAGAATGTATATATCAATAGAAAACCTCTCACCAACCCCACCAAATCCTCCCCACCCTTCCAGAAGGTTCACCACTTTGGAGAAAATCTCCTTCCCTGGAGAGTAGCACCTGGAAATTCTTGCCTGTGGGCAAAGATTAAAACCTTGCAATCAAGGCAAATGTTCTCTAGGTTGTTGCTGAGAAAAATCCTGTTCTGCCTGACCCATACTACATAACTCTTTCTAAATTCTTTTCAGTCATCTTACCTCTTGTCTGAAACATTGCTTCTTGGTCTTCTGTAGGCTTTGGCCATTGACTCATCCAAATCTCCCTTGTGAATGAAACATCCCAAGTTTTTAAAAAGCAGCTCACCGATCAATTTTTTTGGTTTTGTGCTTTTGGTAACCCCAGTCTCCTGGGTTTTTTCTCCTATCTTTCCCACACTCCAGCAGGATCCCAAGGCTTTCTTAAGCTAATACATTATTCAGCATTACCAGATTTGTCTCCTCAAAATTCTTGCTCTTTAGAGCTTTCCTTCTTCAGAAGGAATTTCTTACCTTTTCATGCTCTTTTACTGAGGGAGAACCTGTGTCAGCTCATTAACGATAACAAAGAAAAACCTCAACTTCTTCACAGGCTACTTGCTTTCCATTTCTCACCTTACCTTCATCATAGAACTTTCTGGAGTGTTCCAGAATGTTCTGCTTGCCATCAACTGTTATTAGATAATATAAACATTAATAATATATTCCTTTGGAGACTTATGTGACTTCCCCAAAGTAAGGTTGAAATGTCACTGTTGATTCTTCCTGAGAAGATAAGACATCACCCCATGTCTTTAGAAAACATTTGACTCTTAGGCTCCTTCCTCCCTCTGACTGGAAAGGGTAGAGGGTGGACATCTGTGAGCTCCTTTCAGATCCCCTATTTAAGGAGGCCAAGCTAGACATACCATATAACTTCTCATCTGGCCACTGCTCTGGACTTGTCCAAAATTTCTAGAAACTTAACTCCCTGAAAGATCAAATCAGTTCTGAAACACCTCCTTATTACTCTCCTTGGAGAGGACAGAGTGGACATTTGGGAGAGTCTAGAGCAGACACTATTTTTCACCTAAATGAAGGACATTATTATGCCCCCATGTTCAAAACTCTCCCTCTCTTCAAATCCCCTTTTCATCTTCTTTTTTTGAGAGCAGGGAACATCTTCTGCCTTTCTTTGTATCCCCAAGGCTTAGTCCACTTCATTGGCTGACTGACCCAAGTGAAGTATTATCCTCAGAAGCCTCCTAATGTCATTCTTCCCTAAGTCTCCCTAGCTATTCCTCCCTGCTCAAACTCCATGGAGATATTGTCAGCAAAGTGATCCATTATCTGTTCTAATTTCATTACTAAGTGATGACAAAAAAAATTCATTTCTTCTGCTGCTTCTTGATATCCTAAAATTGCCAGAGCAGAACCTACAGATCACTTTTTATCAGCTAATTCACTAGTAGAAGTCTGATCTCTGTTCTTCTGTCCTCAACCTCTGATTGAATTCTTGTTCCCTTTATAACAGTTCCTTGCATAGTCTGTGCCTTTCTTCATCTTGCTTTTTCAAGCCTTATTTTCTTGTTCAAGGTGACTTACTGTGGTTTTTTTTATAACCTCTCCAGCTCCTGACCCCCTTTTCTTCTTTCACTGTTAAGTATTCCTTCCTTCCAAGTGTCTTTCCATATTTCTGGTGACCTGCTCTCAAAGACTGCCAAACTAACAAACCTGTAATACCATTTTTCCTTTTATAACTCAAGTTGTAAAGGTTTCAATGTTTATCAAATAAACTTTATAATTCCTTAAAACTTGATCCAGAGTAGAGGGTGGAATGTTAAATGAAGCTGAATCTCTTTTTTTCCCAGGGTCTAAGATCTGTCCTACATATTAAGTTTTTAAAGGTAGACTGTGGGTCTCCATTTTCCTCATCTGAAACTTGAATCCCTGCCCTGGGAGTATGTTACAGCAAGTAAATATATTCTCAAGCATTTTTACAACAGATTTTACATTCTAAAAACTCACCAAGTCTCCCAGGCTCTTCATAAATTCAATCAGCAAGTCAAAAAGCATTTATTAAATATTTACTATGTGCTAGGCACTCTGGTCCACTCAGCTCACAGCTTTAACTGGTAACTCCCATACTGACCTTTTCTGGTCCTTAGTTAAAGTCTTTGGGACACAGAATAACTTTATGTCCTCAGAAAATAAAATGGAGTTTAATTCTTCCATCTGGTATGGCCCTGCTAAATTGGGGGATCAAAGAAAAATCTCTAACAGGCACAGCTCCCTTGCAATTCACTTACTGCCATCCCCAGTGTTGTCTGTCTTCTAGAATACTCCTGAATGTTCTGCTTTGGGCCAACAATTGTTTCAAAATAACCTATTACCTTGAGGTTTAGATGACATCCCTAAAGTAGGACTGAAATATCAGAGTACCTAGGAAGTGGGAGCAACACCATTTACCATTCATCCACTGTAATTAAATGGAAATTCTTGTTCCACTTTTCCAGTTTCTTATTGAGTATTATAACTATGACTGGTTCTGTAAAGACAGTTTTCCCTAGCGTGGTCTCTGGCTTTATGCATAATGTGAGAGTGAGTAGGGAGTAACTGACATTTTCATCTCCTTTTGATCTAGAATATGGCTACAGTACTGCTGCTGTTTTACTCATCACGCTGGGTTCTATGTTTGGAACAACTCTCATCTTTTCAGCAACTGTGAGGAAAACTACAAACTCGTTTTACAACTCTTTGTGGGTTTAGCTGTTGGAACCCTTTCTGGTGATGCCCTGCTCCATCTGATTCCTCAGGTAACTACCCTATTCCAACTCTTATTTCCTTTTAAAATATCTTTAGCTCCTGGAGAAGCTACAGCCCTTTTTTAAAGCCTCAGCAGGTTATTTAGATAAACAAATTCAATGGCAAATGACATTCTAACAAATGGAAACTTTTTAGCCCTTTTCACAATGGTAAAGGAGGAGAGTAAAACCAACACAGAACACTTTAATACCTTATGCTAACTTTTCTCAGTGAGCAGGACAGGCCTCTGAGGAACTGGAAAGCAAATTCTTGGCCCTGTCTCTCTGGAGTTAGCTGCACATCCTACCAGCAACATTGTGAGTCTCACAAAATCTTTCACCAGGCAACCTAAAGAAAAGAACTCCCAGCGTTCTTTGCCTAGTGTAAATTGTACCACTCCCACATGTGGACTTCCTTTCGATCCACCTAGGGAGGAAAGTTGCCCAGAAATAGCCCCTTATTAACAATATGGAATAAGTCCTTTAAGAGCTCACAGATACTTTTGACACACTGACACTTTAATCAATCAATCAATTAGTCAAACAATTATTGTGTTTATCATCAGATAAGCAGGCTCCGGAAATAAGCAAGGTACTAGGATAGGTTCTGCCAGCTCCTTACAGATGCTAACAACATTAAATGCCTCTGCAATGGTAGATCCATTTGTCAAGAGTTTGGTCATACCCTTTCACAGTGAACTAGCCCAGATGGTAAGGGGTGCTAACCTACTCCGGCTCATCTAGCAAGAATATTTAGACCTACCTTTGTCCATAGCCAAAGTATATTTAGCCCCTGCTAGTATACAGAGGTTGAGAGTCAGCATGTTGTGATTAGAGGCTGGTCTTAGAATCAGGAAGACCTGGATTCAAGTCTCATCTCTGACATATACTCATTGTGTGCCCTGATATCAACCTTAAAGGACAGGTATTAGCCAGCTTCCCTTAGTTTCCATTTTTGGCTTTGTCGTTCTATGTCTGGCCTGGAGAGAATAAGATCCTCTATGCTGCTGTAGAAAAAGGAGAGCAAATAGCCAAATATCAATAATACCCTTCCAAAAAAAGGACGACCGGGTATTTCTATTTTCTGCTTAAATTTAGTAAGTGATTAGCCGTAATTACAACTGGTTCAACTGCAGCAAGGAAGGCAGACCATTTAACATACATCACTCTTCTTTTTTTCCAGTAGAATGTAAGTTCCTTGAAGGCTGGGACTTTCATTTTTTTTTCTTTATATCCCTAATACCTAGCAGCGTGACTGGCATTTAATAAATGTTTGCTGATTTGAATTAAGTTAAATTGAATCATCATGTACCAAATGACAAACCGCTCCTCTTAGATCAATCTAGGCATGAAATCAACTCAAAAGAGCTGATTGGGTAAATTGAAATAAAGGACTGGGAATGTAGAGGAAAAGATAACCCCTAGGAATGTAAAGCTCCAGAACAACTCACCTTGGTATAGATTCACTGTCAAACTGCCCCCCTTGTTTCTTTCTCATATTGTTGTACTTAATGCTTACCAAAGCTTATGGTATAACTGGAAACATTCCATCAAAACATATTGGTCTTGGGAGCTCTAAGGAATGTTCGTGGGCAGCAACTGGGTCTATCACTGATATTTAAAATAAAACAAAAGCCATTCATTTCTGCCTGTTTTCTGTGCCTGTGTTTCTAGATTCTTGGCTTACATAAGCAGGAAGCACAAGAGTTGGGACATTTCCATGAAGGGAAAGAATATATTTGGAAACTATTGGGATTAATTGGAGGAATCCATGGATTTTTTCTGATAGAAAAATGTTTCCTACTTTTCATATCACCAAATACCAAGGTAAATTTTTTAAAACTTTGCCATGCCCTGTACTGTGGGATTTTTATAATTTTTATCTGATGTATAATTTTTTTCGCAAAAACATAAAACTTTAGAATGAGAAGGAATCATAAAGAGAACCTTGTCTAACCTCCTCCCTTTATATGTAAGAAAACAGAAGCTGAGAAAGGAGAATTGGCGTGTCCATGGTTTCATAATGTTAGTCAATGGAAGAGCCAAGGTAGCAACGCAAACCATTCCATACTATCTTATTCTGGGAAATGTTATGTGAGTGGTGAAACCCTGTTTCCTGGACCATTCAGATTGTTATGACCTGCTTTTGTTTAAAAATCTAGAAAAGGACAATGTCTTCATTTAAATATTTACTGAAGAGCAGTGACAAAGATGACTATGGAGTCCAGGAGGACTGGTTTCAAGTCCTGCCTATCAGAAGTAATGGATATGTGATCTTGGGCAAGTCATTTAACTTTTCAGTGTTCTAGGCTACTCTCTAAAACTATTTAGGTTGCAGAGCAAGTGAGCAGATACTAATTTGCACGAGAAGAGCACTAAATCCCAGATCCCATCTAAGAAACAAGGGTAATATCTTAATAATAATTAATAAACTTAATTTACTTATCACAGCTAGTCATCAAAAGGCTTCCTTGTGGAACTGGGGACCTCTTTACTAGCCTCTGATAATAGGAGGAAAGAAGGAAAGAATGGAAATAGAGTAGTGGGAGCTCAAACCAATGATAGCCCAACCCCACAGGGTTAGGGAATTTGTAGCCTACTTAGCTCTGGGATAGTGGGCTAGACTGCACCTATTCCATGTTATTTTATTTTCAGTGGTATCTCAGATTGGTTACCTGGAACACCAGGAGAGAGACCCTTATTATTGGTCAAAGCACTGATGTTTCTATTTAGCCTCTATAGTCACAGGTCTCAAGGTTACCCTGACTGATCTTTGCAAGGACTATAAAAAGTTTTGGTCCAGGGAAGAACCCACCTTAGGTGAGCTTGAGCAATTCCCTGGAGGACATCCCTATGATGCTGTGTACCAGCGTACACAGTGCCTGTGGGAAGACGTGGCCCAGGTGAGATTGTTATGTCCTCAGTGGAGCTGAGATTTTATCTTTCTCCTGTGCCACAAGGCCCATTTACTCTTATGTATTCTGTTGTCTCCATTAACCTGTACAACTTCCCCATCTGTTTCATTGTTTGCTTTGTTAAATAGGTTTGCTTTCTAAAGAAAAAAAAAAGGCTTCCTTTTTAGAAACTGGTTTAGAAGCTGGAACACATTACATGTTAGAGTCAGAGAATCAATAATTACCCAATGAGGAATGAAGAATCCAGATGTATAGACAATACTCAACTTTGGAATAATTAGTTTCCTCAGGGAAAAAGTGCAAAAATGCATGAAATATCTGATATTTTTATGTCTGAAGGATTTATAAATGAAATCATAGAGACTTCATGGTACAGTTAAAAATGTGTTCGATGTGGAGTTAGAATACCCGAGTTGAAATCTCTGCTCTGCCACTACCTATGTGACCTTGGGCAACTTACCCACCACGAGCCTCAGTTTTGGCAAATACAGAATGAGATATTTGAACTAGAAAATCTGTGAGGTCCCTCCTCTTTCTATATCTATGTTCTATGATCTCAGAGAATAGAACCATGGCAAAATACAGAATCACTAGGTTGTCACAGTTGGAAGGGGTCTCAGGCTCATTTAGTCCAATTCCCTATCTGAAGGCAGAATTTCCTGCAAAAATCCAGACAAGTGGTTATGCAGCCTTCACTGGCCGATTTTCAAAGATAGAGAACAATATTGGTAGCTTATTTCATTTTTGTATAGCTCTAATAGTTAGGAAGCCTTTCCTTATTAAAATTTGCTTCCTTTTCATTTCTACCTCTAACGCTGGGACCATGCAAAACAAATCTGATATCTCTTCTACTCCGCAGCCTTTCAAATATTTGAAGAAGACTTTCATGCTCCCCTAAGTCTGCTGTTCTCCAGTGAAACGCCCCTGGTTTCTTTAAATGATCCTCATATGATATAATTTCAAGTCCCCTTGCCATCTTAGTCAAGCTTTCCTGTATGCCCTCCAAGCTTACAATATCCGTCATAAACTGTGGTACCCAGAACTGAACACAGAATTGCACCAATATTGGTCTGAGTAGGATGGAGTACAATGGTTCTATCATCTCTCTAGTTTTGGACACTCTGCTTATTAGTGCATTCTAAGACTGACTCTTTCACTGTTATATCATACCATTAATACATATTGAGCTTTCACTCCACTCTAATGATTTGTTTAAATGCAAGTGGGTTGAACATCTCTTTATCTCCAGAGCTACGGTAAAATGAAGAGGTACACTTTATAGCCTTAAAAATTAAGGCTAAATTGGTCATGTAAGTAAAAAAAGTATGGTTTCAAATAGATATCATATATGCTGTTTCTCTTCATTGTTACATGTTACAGAAATAACTATTTGGGGCACACCAAAAGTAAGCGTGTAGTGGGTGCGTGTGTGCGTGTGTGCGTGTGTGTTTTAAGCTCAGCGAGATTTGTATTGCCTAACCATCCAAATACCTTACTAATAGCTTATATTTATGTAGCTCTTTTTTTCACACATACATTCTCTTATTGCAACCTCAATATAACCCCAAGAAGGTAGGTGGTACAACTGTCACCTTCAGTTTGCAGATGAGTGTGAGGCCTATCTGTGTGTAGTAAGATGTAGAGCTGGGCTTCAAATCCATTTTCTCTGACTACCAAGTTCCATTCCTTCACACTGTCCCTGAGACCTTAGACTTTTTCCTCACCTACCAGATCCTCAATGGTTCTGATATTAATGGATGACCTAAATAAAATGTCATGGCTATAAGGAAGTGTTCATTAACATCCTAGCGATATAACATTTCAACTGCAGGCTTTCCTTCCCACTTTTATTTAAAGTGTTTCTTGACTTTCAGGATGACTCCTCTGGGCCCACACTAATACACTATAGTAGAGAGGAAAGGTAAGGGTAAAAACTGCTTTGTGATGTTCCTGAACTAGCAAAACAAGCTAGGGCAACAACATCTGTTCTAAGGGCAGAATGGGAATACAGCTGAGAGAGAAACATGACAGCTCAGACATTTACGTTTGGTCTTTACTGAGATTATCTCTGTGTGTCAAAGCTGCCTCTGAATGAATTCCTTGTAAAGTACTTGAACAATTAATGACATGCATTGTGCAGAATGAAGGGGCTGTCAATATTTCAATAGTAATTCTGTTTTAATTTTAAGTTGCCTAAGTGTCTGTTTTCTACATGGTGAGCTTCGACTTTATGTTATGTTATTTGGGTACATTTGGGGCTGTCAATATTTCAATAATAATTCTGTTTTAATTTTAAGTTGCCTAAGTGTCTGTTTTCTACATGGTGAGCTTCGACTTTATGTTATGTTATTTGGGTACATTTGGGGCTGTCAATATTTCAATAGTAATTCTGTTTTCATTTCAAGTTGCCTAAGTGTCTTTGTTTTCTACATGGTGAACTTCAACTTTAATTTGCGTTATTTGGGGACATCTATCAAAAACACATGAATTGTAAGCTTTTAGCAAGTATGGCTGTTGAACAAGTCCATTCTTCTTGCAGACAATGTTAAAAAAAAACAAAAACAACAAACCTCACTGCTGTTCTTGTTCTTAATCTCAACTAGCAATTTTCAGTATTTAATTTTAAAAGCCCCCAATCACCTTGAAATTGTGAGAATCCCTGCCTAATTTTTCAGATTAAGTTGGAGTTTTATAAGTCAAAATCCATTAACAAATTTTTATCATAGCTAGAACCCTTCCAAAAGCATCTGCTATCTAGTAGATCACTTTCTGAGATAACAGAAATGCTCATTCTGAGCATGAAACTGCCCAAGGCTGAAGCTGCATTCATCAGCTCTGGCACTAATTGAAACATCCTCATCCTCCAACAGGGCCTATCCCTAGTTAACGGGCATGTGGGACATTCCCATGAGCTTGCAACGGACACTGACTTAAATGACCAATCAATCAGAGACAAATCCACTTCAACTATCCAGTTGGTAGGTCATCCGTCTCAAATATTCCTTTGACTTGATTTTCTTTTTTCCTCTTTTCCTCAATGAAAAGATGAAAATCAGTAGAACCTCTAAATGTGACTCTCACTGATGATTTATCTATTCTTAATCATGACAAGTGCTTCTTAGAAAGAACTGCCAGACACCTGGAAGTTGTTTTGATATGCAAAAAACATTTTTTCCCCAGACAGATTCAGATCTATTCAAGTAAAGAGTAGATTGGCATTGTGCACTTTCTCTGATTGCTCAAAGGAATCTGTTAATGATTTCATGAAGAAAGGTCAGTGAGACCTTTTGGTCTTCTAACTTACGTGACCTTATGCCATGACTGGTTGGCAATAAACAGATGTCTGGGGAAGGAATAAATTAATGCATCTTATCATAGGTGCTAATTTCTTAACAGGACAATGGCCTGACCAATGAGATGTTTTCAATGAGGGGAATTACCCACACAGAAATCTCTGTCAGAATTCAAAGCACAGAAATTAATTAAGTCCACATCAAGACATATCCATTCTAGCTTCCATGTACAGCAGCAAAGAAAGAATAAATGTATTTGAGAATTTTTTTTAAAAAAAAATGACTAGAGTTGGAAAACTTACTTTAGATAGTTGTGACTTTAGGTTGTATGTCCTCAGTAAGAAAGATCAAAGGTACATTAACTTGAACTGGAGTTTCTCCTTGATTTAAGCAGAAATATAAGCATCTTCCCTAGTAGATATCAGGTGCACCATTATTCAAGGAACATGTGCAAGAAAACTGAGTTTTAAAAAATGAAGCCCACGTGTACTTATTATTTGAGTATGTTTAGTGTCTTTCAGGTGGGGATAAGAGACCCACTTTGTCCTGAAAACATAAAACTTATGTCTTGAAAGCATAAAACTTATGTACAGTCAGATTTCATTACTTCTATATCAGTAAAGTGATTGAGGTAGTTAAGCAGAATTCTGATGCCTTCATAATACATTTGCACTACTTAAACACTTCAGCCCTTCCTTTTGCTCTACAAATGGTTAAGTCAACCAGAAGCAAAATCAAAATGATATGAATTACTAGGATGATATGGTAGGATCTCATTTCCTCTTCTTTTCAGAACTGAGTAGGCAGAATGAGGCATATGAGCAATTCTTTGTAGTCAATGATTAGTCCTGGATATTTAACTATTAGTTCTCCCCATCATTGGACTGGATCACAGATATTGTTATTTATGTCCAGAGAATTAAAAAGTATTATTTCCAGTGTGCCACAGGCCTTTGGTGTACTTATTCCACAGGATAGTTATAAAGAAAATACTTTATAAATCAGAAAGGTGAGCTATTCTTTAGTTATTCTGAAAGTTTGACCCAATTTCACAGATCTTTCACCTTACTGCCTCCACATGATTTAAAACAAAACAAAACACTCCTTGGTCAAAGGAAAATTCCCTTAATTTATGTTGCTTCTTGGATAACTTTGTGATGAGGGGCCTTCCTTGTAGCATCTGGACTTGAGCAAATCTGTCCATGGCATCATATTTTATTTTGTTTGAAACAGAGGCTGTGTCAATGACATTTGGAGGCATCTTCATAGTGGTCAAGTTGAGTAGACAGGTAAAAAATAGACTCTTCATATTATCCCATAACTATCTGAGGCATAAAGATGGAGAAGGAATGGCCTGCCAATGAACTATGAGTCAGTCACAGAAATCAGATCCTGCAATCTTGATTTATGATCTAAGGCTTGATTTCAAACCCTCCCGCCTCTGGGACCTGAATGGCTGAAGGCAAAAAACTGCTCTAAAAAAACCTGTATTTTCTCTCCAAAGTCCAGAGGTATAGCTTGTTACCAAAACAAGATTGAATTACTGAGTGGCAAAGAACAGATGCAAAATGACGTGCTACTATGAACAAAACCTGATATGTGTGTATCATTTGTCCATATAGAGTATACTGTATTATTTGAAGGTCAGTAAGAGAATCTTGGCCAATATATAGGGACAGCATAAATTAATTCGAGAATCTTGTCTATAACCTTTCAGTTTCACAGATGCTTCCATAATTTAAGACTATCCTAAATCACAAACCACTTCAATGGCCTCTAGCCACCCTGTGGAGTAATTTGCTTTGTAGAGTACATTTATGGTCAAATATATCTCTGCTTTCAGCTCTTCAGTCCTATTTTTCTAAGTTAATCGTGAAAATGTAAATGATTTAAGATATACCTGTGCTTTTAAGATGTCGCTTTAACAACTGTAGCACCTTTTTTTTTTACTTTTGAATAACCAGTGATATAAAATCCTTGCCTTTCATTGATTACTTTTTGTCTCATGCAGAAAAGCTCCGAAGATTCAGACACAGCTGAAATTCCAATAGATAGTATGACTGCCTCGAATAGAAAGCGTAAGTACTGCGGAAAACATTTACTATTTAAAACTGAGGTGGGAGGAAGGGAGAGAACAAGTGTTTATTAAGCCCCCAATATGTGCCAGGCACTATGCTGAGTGCTTTGCAAATATTATTTCATTTGATTTTCAAAACAGATGAAATCTAAGGTTAAATGTTGTCAGAACTGTATTGCTATTTTGCATTCCACTGTCATGCCAGCTTTGTAATTAATCTTCAAAGTCTCAAAGCCAAGTACCTCCCTAAACTAATCATTGATCTTGATATTATACCATTTTCCCCAAATCTTATTAATCAGTCAGCAATTGTTTATTAAACATTTACTATGTGCCAGAAACTTGTGCTAATTTGCTGAGATACAAAGAGAAAAATGAAATAGTCCTGCCCTCAAGGAGCTTATATTCTATAGAGGGAGATATTTTATAGGGAGATTTTCAATCTTCATCCTGAGAAGAATATATTTTACTGTTACAGCACATTTTAAATAATATACGGAGTAGTTTTGTTCAGTCATTTCAGCCATGTCCAATTCTTTGTGACCTCATTTGGGTTTTGCTTTGTTTTGTTTTTTTGTCAAAGATACTGGAATAGTTTGCTATTTCCTTCTCCAGCTCATTTGACAGATGAGGAAATGGGCAAACAGGGTTAAATGACTTGCCCAGGGTTATACAGGTAGTAAATGTCTGAGGCTGGATTTGAACTCATGAAAATGAGTCTTCCTGACTCCAGGCAGGGCACTCAATCCACTGCACAACCTAGTTGCCCCCACATGGAGTATAAGTGATATCTATAAAATGTATCCCACATAGAGTATTAATGAGTCGCATATACATATATGCATATGATATATGTATATACATGTATGTATATATGCATGTGTATATATGTATACACGTGTGTGCGCGCGCATGTGTATATATGTATATACATGTATGTATATATGTGAGTCATACGTATGCTAGTGAGAACTTCTAAGTAACCATTAGTGCTCATCTATTGTCACAGTATACTATAAATTCCTCTCAGGAGTCTTATCTCATTGGCTCACTAGATAGAGTCTGCTGGTCCTGGAGTCAAGAAGACCTGAGTTCAAGTCCAGCCTCAGACATTTACTAGCTGTGTGACCCTGGGCAAGTCACTTAACTTGTGTTTGCCTTAATTCACTGGAGAAGGAAATGACAAAGCACTCCAGTATCTTTGCCAAGAAAACCCATGGACAGCATTGGCATGCTATGGTCCACAGGGTCGTGAAGAGTCAGACATGACTGAACAACAGTAACAATATACAAAGCAAGTTGGCTTAGTCTAACTCCAAAATGTCTCATTATTCAGATTTCAATTTAGAACTCAGTTATTCTTATTTTTTTCAATCTAACCTTTTCCATTCTCCAACTTTCCTTATTTCAGAATTTATGATTCTTAGAAAGATAACTGTTTGACTGAGATTTATTGGATTACTGTTATATGTAAGGCAGTTTGACTGGCATTATAGGGGACACAGAAGTGAATCTGGCTTTGTCTGCACTGTCACGAACCCTATAGCCTACTAGACAAAAAACAACACACATGCAAATTATGAAAAGAACATGTATAATGCGAAAATATGAGAACTACAAGTGGGAATGTAGTAAAGGGAAGGAAAGATTGTGTCCACCTGAGGATTCACAATAGGTTTCAAGTAGTTGTTTTCAAACTTTGTGGTCTCAACATTGCTTTGTATTCTTATAAGTTATTGAGGATCCCTTTACACTCTTAAAATTATTGAGGATCCCAAAGACGTTTTGTTTATGTGGGCTATATCTATCCATGTGTACTGTACTAAAAATTAAATCAGCTTATTGTTATAATGAAAATAGTGTCGACCTCATGCATCCTAAAAAGTACCTCAAGGATGCTAGAGGGTCTCTGGATTATATTCTGAAAACTGCTGATTTAGAGTTGGAAAGGATACAACTCTCATTCAAACCCCTCATTTTAGAGATGAAGAAACTGAAGCTCAGTGATGTTAAGAGGTTTGCCTGTGGTCACACAGCCAGTAAACGGTAGAACCCAAATTCATACCCAACTTGTTGGGTTCCAAAACCAACGCTCAGAGGAGCATTTGGACTAAACTTTGAAAAGTAGAATTTCAACAGGCACAATAACAAGGGGGGAAAGGCCAATGTAGCTAAAGGGAACATCTTTTTTTTCTTTTTTACTGAGAAATGTGGCTGATATTTCTTTTATTTTGCTCTTTTTTTTGGAAATGGGAATATAGAGAAGATATTCAAATCCAGGTTTATGAACTCTATGAGGCAACATGCATGAAAATGGCATATTTGGGTGCATTTCCATTATCTCCTTTGTGAAATGGCAGTTGAGTAATCTGACTGGGAATGAAATGCTACAAATATTTGGATTTCAAAGATCATCTGAGATGGAAAGCTTCTGGAGATATAACCTTTAAATATGACCAATGCCTTTCTGCCTACCTAACTCCTTGCCCTGCCTCCCATACCCATAAACATAATGTGATTTTAAATCTAAGCTTTCACTATAGATCTTATATGACTATTTGGTAGTCTCAGAATAGGAAGAGAAAGCAGACAGTAGTTCTACTTGCATTTAAGGACTGGTAAAAGAACAATAATGGATAGATTGTATGATAAGAGAAACAACCTTGGAATGATTGACAATGGTTCAACAAGGTTCAACAAGAAGGCAAATAAAAAATTTAGGTGATTTGGCTTTGGTGATAAAGAGATTATTAGACTTTAGAGAAAGCAGTTTCAGTAGAGCGGTATGAGTAGAAGAGAAGTAAGGAGAGAATGGATACTGAGGAGGTTAAGGTAAGAGTTATAGATTATTAGTGCTAGTAATTTGTCAGTGAAGGAGAGGAAGATGATAGGATGAAAGCTTGAAAGTATAGGAGGATCAAGGAGAGGTTTTGTTTGTTTATAGAATTGGGAAGACATACACATGTTTACAAGCAGTTGGGCAGGAGATGATCAGGATATTGAAGATACATGGGATTGGGTATTACTGATAGGATAAGGTCATAGAGAAAGGGGGAACGAATAGGATTAAGGAGTGGGGAGGGTTTGCCTTCGCATAAAGTGGGGCCAATAAGAGCTGAGTTCAAATTCTTTCTCGTGTATTTATTTGCTATATGATACTGGGTATATCATTTTTATTTCTCCCAGTCTCAGTTTTCTTATCTGAAAAATGGAAATAACAGTAAGTGAAGCAATTCCATCACAGGGTGGCTGTTGGGATCATCATGCACATAAGGAGTTTTTCCACTTCTTTAAGTGCTTTGGAAAGGTCTATACAGAGACAATGTGGGGTAGTAGTCAGAGACAGTCTTAGATTTGGAAAGACCAGGATTCAAGTCCTATATCTCACTCATAATGGATATGAGTTTCTGGATAAGTGCTTCAACTCTCAATGACCCCTCGCCCACAAGCAACTCTCTAAGATTGTAAGCTGCAAAGCAGGTGCCAATCTGTGTTGGTGGAGGGAGTTTGCTCACAGGGAGTTCCCTATTACCAATGAAATCACAGATTGATTCTGAAAAACAAAACAAAAACAGTTGATAAGCTAACATTTGTCACCTCGTGATCTAAGACTTTAGATAACTGTCTCAAAACACTAATACTTAAGATTTTGTAAAAACTCTATTAAGGACCACAAATCTCAACGTAGGCAAAATACAAACCATTAACTTCACTTATTATGCAGTAACACACTAAAAAGTGCCTTTTGCTCTGGACTGATGACAAAAAAAATATTGACCTAATTCCACATTTAAAAACAACAATAAAAGTTAGAACTATCCACATTAATTCTGAAAATTGGCAGGAAAAATTCATAAAGCTGCCAGCATTACTAGATTCGAGAAGTTTCCAGACAACTGTTATAAGTACTATCCACATAAAATGATTAGGAATTCATTCTGTGTATTTCTGTGTCCTTCCCCAAAACTATCCCATGTGACACTTCATTGTGGTGGTGAAGGAGCAGGGTGAATACTTAGGGACATAGTAGAATGTGAATCAGTCACTGTTTTGTTTAAAGAAACTTGTGTTTTGTTTCATATTATATGTAAGCACATGAAGGAATAGGACTAACCCCCACCTTATTAGCTTATGTTTCAATTGAGCTTTTACAAAAATAGTTTTATCTGAGAAACAACCTATTGAGAATCTAACAGAATAACCTCTCACTCTTGTACAAGGTAGCATTTAGTCACCAAGGGGTGAGATTGGTTCTGTGCAGGATATGAAAGGGATACAGAGGAGAGCCTCAGAGATGGATGGTTTTAGTTTTTAATTCTTTAAGGTGGAAAGACTAAAAGAACTGAAGAGTGGAGGATGAGTTCATCAATATTAAAATATAGGATGAAAAAAAGATGCTGGGAACTAGCTGTTTCCTGTCTTCCCTGGTGATAAAATGGGGGAAATAGGATAAATTATAGTATTTGTGGAAGAAAGGGAAGTTAGGTTGGATACAGGGAAGAGTTTTCAAGAATGCAGCATGCTGGAATGGATTACTGGAAGTCTTTGCTCTCGTCAATATAACAGCAAAGAAGATCCAGCAAACATCTCGTTAATCCAACAAATTTGACAGCCAAATGAGACCAGCTCAGGCTGCCCAAATAGGCTTTGACTTGAATTGTCCAGATTGCCTTTCATTGTTGATCCAATTAACCTGATAATTACTAGCTCTTTACTTTGTGCTCTACTGATACAGTCAAAGGTCTTGGATTGTCTTTACAAATAGAATGCATTCCTAGACTTCTGGTATGACTACCTTTTCTGAAGAAAAGGAAATGGATGAGAAGGCTTTTCAAAGTCATTAATTATCAGGATGAAATAGTTATGTTTTGGTAAAACCTTGTCCACTTAGGTTTTAATGACCTAAAAAAATGTGTTCTAACTACTTCTCCCTGGTCTAGCATTTCTCAATACTTTTAAATTTTGTTTTGCATCTAGTCACCCAGATAATAATAATAATAATAAATAATAATAATAATAATAATAATAATAATAATTCCTACTTATGGTATAATGGAAAGAACACTAGATTTGGATTTAGGCCCTCAATAAGTGGCTCTGTCTCTTCCTACCCATGGGACTTTAGACAAGTCCTATAACTTCTTTGCGATCCAGAAAATTATACACTACAGGAAAGAACATTGGATGTATTCAAAGGACCTGCGTTTAATTCCCACCTTTAAATTTTATTGTCTGTATCCCCTTGCGCAAGTAACTTAATATGTATAAGGCTTGAAGTCAGGAAGACTCATCTTCCTGTGTTCAGATTTGGCCTCAGATACTTACTAGCCAGCCATGTGAGCTGGGCAAGTCATGTAACCTCTGTTTGCTTCAGTTTCCTTATCTGTAAAATGGGAACAATAGTAGCACTCACTTCCTAGGGTTGTTGTAAGGATCAAATGAGATATAATCGTAAAGCAGTTAACACAGTGCTGGGCACATAGTAAATGCCATATAAATGTTAGCTAACTAGCTCATCCGTAAAATGAAGGGATTAGACTAGAAATGGCTTCTGAGGTTCCTTCTTGCTCTAGGTCTTTGGCTCTTGGATTTCCACTTAGTTTCAAACAACCTACTCTTTAACTCTGTGACTGTAAGTTATCTAATTTCTCTTTGAGCCTCAGTTTCCTCATCTGTCATCTCTGAGATCTTTTCCAGCTCAGAATCTTATGACAATTATATAAATTTTCTCATTTATAAATTTCTTTCTTCACAGGAAGAGTATGAGTTTTATTAGACCATTTTCACAGATGAGAATCATAAGATTCTCATCGATAGAATTAAGAGGGACCTCAGAGGCCATGTAGTCCAGGCCCTTTCTTACATAGATGAGGAATCTGGGACTCAGGAGAATCCAATGTTACCTGGTAGTAGATGCTCTGACTCCAAAAAAAGTGATCTTTCTGAAAGGTAGTTGACTTGCCCACAGTTACGATACTTGGATATGATGAAGCCCAAGGTTAAGCCCAGACCTCACTTCACATTTGCCTCCAAATCTTTGCATTACAAGGCATGATACTTTATAATATAAGATGTAAAACGCCATATCTAAGAATCTACTGCATCTACAGGAAATCTTCATGAAATACGTGGCATTTCCTTTTCAGGACGCTAAATAACTAGATTTACTCTTTTGCACAACTTAGCCTGTGCCAGATACGTTGCCTGATTCTCTTTTGGAACACATTAATTTATGCTGTCTCCATGATGCCAACCCACCCAACTAAGTTTGGAGCCTGGACAAACATCTGGATCATTACCTGAATTTTCCACTTTTTATCTGAATATATTACATCTTGGACTGTGTGTGTAGCCAGTGTCAAAACAATGTCATTTCCATGAAAAAAAATCCTTCAGTTTGTTTTACATTGTGCAAATTTTTGTTTAAAAAATATTATGTTTCACATCCTTTAGCATTTAATGGGATGAATGTTTTATTTTGTTGTTTTGTTGTTCCCACCTTGAGTTGTAGCGTTGATCTTGTGTTATGGCATTAACCTAATAGTGACAGAAGAATTTTCAATCTGCATCATGGACGAAGTTTTCACATTGGGAGTTCTCCAAATAGGTGAAACCAATAGCCTAGACTCTTTTCCCAAGGGGCAGGGGGTATTAATTGCGTTCCATATTATTTGCAGCTAATTATTAATTACATCAGGATGCCAAGAGTTTTTTTTTCAGGCAAAGACAAGGTTTATTAGAACATCATCATATTGGGCAGACTCTTAAGGAGTCTGAACATGAGTAAGCAGTGGATTATAAGAATCTAGCAAGAGTTTTTGATCAACAATAATACGCAAAACATTTGAATATATGACTGACATTAAATTAAATTTGTGGCTACAATGAGTTATAGAATTCTTGACGTGCATTTATTTTGATAACTCATTTTAAAATGAAAAATCTCTAAAACTTGAGGGAAAGAGGTGGTCTATTATTGCAACTGACTTCAAATTTTTTTTTAAAAGATTATTAAGCACATCACTTACATACAAGACTATGCATTAGTTGCTATGTGGGAATGCAAAGAAAACAAAAATAGCAATAGCAAGCATTTATAGATCACATCAAGGTTTGTTAATTATTTTACAAATATTAGTTAATTTGATCCCTACAAAACCCTAAGAGGTAGGTGCTATTATTTTCTCCATTTTACAGATGAGGAAACTGAGGGTGGCAGAGGTTAAGTGGCTTGCCCAGGGTCACACAGCCAGTAAGTATATGGGGCAAGATTGGAACTCAGGTCTTCCTGCCTCTTAACTCCAGCACTTTATTTACTATACCACCTTCCTGAAGGAGTTTAGAGTTCCTTATATGACTTTAATGTGCTGAAGTATCTAATTATGTATGACATTGGGTCATGACACTACAGAAGTTGTAATTTGTGAAAAAAAATCCTACTACTTACTGTTTACTAATTATGTTCCAAAAATACATGATTTCATTGATGTGGATACTACTCCTTCTCAGTGCCTTACTTGACAGTGACTGTTACTGTGGCCAAAAACCCATCATCTGATAATTGACTGCAGAGTTAGTGATGCAGAATTCTCTATACTTTGCTATCCTGGTCCCTACACAATTGCCTTTCTCTAAGTCTGTGCTCAAAGTACTTGCAGTTTGAAAGATCTGATAGACCTTGCTTTTCATTGGCATAGTTCTGGGAAATGTGGGATCACTTAACAGCGTAACGATGAGGAAATAGAGCAGGACTTTAGCAATATAAAGTTGACCTTTCATTCTCTTTTATTGCTTTTCTATATTTTAAATGAACTTTATTCTTCTGTGGCTTCTGATTATATTATGATATCCCCAAAGAAGTAATTTATTAAATGGTATCCTGGCGTATATTATTCTGAAAGCACATGTTTCTATCTGCTCTCAAGAATCTCACAGTAGTATCTGTATGTGTGATATACACACACATGTATGTGTGTATATATATATATATATATATATATATGTATGTATGTAGTATTACAAAGTATTGAAATATGTATTAGAAAGTATCAAAATATACATTATTAAGTATCAAAATATATGTGGTCATGTATCATGGAGCAATAATCCAATTCAATCCAATAAACATTTATTAACTGCCCATTCTGTGCCAGGCACTGTGCTAATCACTGGATATACAATTGATTTTTAAAAAGATAATTCCTGCCCCTGAGTAGCTCACAATCTAATGGGGGGAGACCACACAAAAAGAAGGCAGGAAAATGGGGGTGATAAGCAGTAGGGTGGAACAGGGCTACTGAGCGCAGGGCCATCTTGTTGCATGGAGGCAGAGCAACAGATGCAAAGTGAATTGAGGTGAGAGTCCAGTTTCTGCCTTCTCTAAAGGAAGGCACTGGGAGAAGTTTGGCAGTCTACCTGCCAGCCCTCCAACCAGAGGCGAGAGGAGACTTAGGGAGGTGGCAGCAATGAAGGCTTGAGTTAAGAACTTGGTGATGAAATTAGATGAGATATATTAGAGATAATCAGCAAGTTTAGCATGGTGATCATAGGGACATCATGTGTCATAAGATCGTAGATTCCAAGTTGGAAGGGACCTCACAGGCCCTCCAATTCAACCCTCTTATTTCACGAAATAAGAAACTAAGGGTCCTGGAGATTAAATGATTTGACCAAGGTCTCACAATCAGTAAGTGTCAAAGATGACACTTTAACCCTAATCTTCTAAATTCTGAGCCAATTTTTTCCCCACTGGACCATCTCTGGGATATTTATTTGTTTCTTTCACTTTGAAATGACATAATGCTCACCAATGTCAACATGCACCCTCAAGGTCTGGAGATTTTTCCCAGAAATTTAACTTTTGGGGGGATTGGACTTGAATTCCAATCCAATAAGCATTTCTTAAGTTTCTATCATATGCAAAGGCACTCCACTGTTCTGGAAATGCAAAAATTTAGTGAAAAAAAAAAGGTGCTTGCCTTCAAGAAACTTCTACTAAGGAAATATAATACAAAAAAAGTGATTACATATAGACAAGATTTTTTTAGGACAGAGAACACTAACAAGTGGGAATTGGGAAAGGCTTTGGTTTGAAAGTAGCACAAAAAAGTCATGGGTTCTAAGAGTCAGAGGTGAGGAAGGCATGCATCCGAACTGTACAAAGACAGAGAAGTGAGAGATGGGATGCCATGTTTGGGAACAGCAAATCAGCCAGTTTTGCCAGAAGAGAATTCATAGGAAAGGTAGGGAGCTTAGAAAAACAATGGCCTTACTACCCAATATTTCCATTCACATGTTCAACTCCTTTTTATTTTTTTCTTTTTTGCCTAGGCAATGGGATTAAGTGACTTGCCCAGGGTCATACAGCTAGTAAGTGTTATATGTCTCAGGCCGGATCTGAACTCAGGTGCTCCTGAATCCAGGGCCCGTGCTCTATCTGCTGTGCCACCCAGCTGCCCCTTCAACTTCTTTAATAATCCTTCTTTAATAATATATCCTTTTGAAAATCTGGAACCAAGTGGGACTATGTATTTCACTTAGTTAAATGTTACTGTTGATGAGTAAAATGAAAGTTAGATTCATCTTGTGCAAATTTACCATCTTGTAGATTAAGACAAAGAGTCATAGCCCCTCTTAGCTAGTCTTAATGCCTTCATCCCTTTCTGTAGGTAAAGCCATTAGTCTTTTAGCTGTTATGATACTGGTTGGTGACAGCCTTCATAATTTTGCTGATGGTCTTGTGATCGGAGCTGCCTTCTCATCTTCCACTGAGTCGGGGGTGACAACAACCATTGCCATCCTGTGCCATGAAATTCCACATGAAATGGGTAAGTTGACCGGTTCTCTACCAGCTGTCCTCTAATAGCTGAAAAATTAGTCATGCTCAGTGTGTAACCTGACATTGCTTGTTTTCTTTCCTTCTTCTCTCCAGCATATCATTGAATGGTGACTAGCTTCAGGTCATATTCCATTTAAATCATAGGAAGAAAAGAGAGAAGAAGGCAATATTTCTGTAGCCCAGGATAAAATTCAATCTGACATTTTCATAATATTTCCCAAGGATGGAGAGCGATAGTTTGTGCTTCAGAGCATTCTGGATGGGAGGCTGTCATTTTCATGTAACATCATTTTAAATACCTTTGGCTGGGACTTGAAAATCTGAATATTATATGTGGGAAAAATATCAAGGGGAGAACCTTATCCAATATGTCAGCAAAGAGACCAATGAAACAATAGCATTTTAATTAAAACCAGACCATGGCTTCATCAAGCTGATTTATTCTAAATGTTTAAAACCAGGCATGAAATTAAAGTGACAGACATATGGTAGCAGAGAGAGACACAAGACTCTTTTTTTCAGGGTATATTTTAATAGCCTTATAATTCAAACCCTGTCTCTTTGGAACTCATGAAAGATGGACAAGCCTTTTCGGAAACATATAGAACAAGTAGGTCAGCCTTGAGCAAAAGTGTGTAATACACAGTTTGTCTTCAGCGATCATCCTATCATATCCCAAAGGAACCCAGGATTTGGGGGATTAACTGATGCAGTGGGATCTCATGATGGGGAAGACTGGATCGATAGAAGCCCAACCGAAGATAGCAAGGAACTCTAAGGGGACCTTGTTGCTGATTTCAATCTGTTCAGCCTTATAACATTCTTCAGCAGGCAAAGAAACAAATTTTCAGTTGCTGATGTACCCAGGCAACGGGGAGATTGGCTAATCAGTCATTTCTTTGGGACCCAGGTGTTAGCACATAAAGGAAGGCAGTGGGCCAAAACTTCTGGGACTGGAGGAAGCAGATGTGAGATTAAACATGAGTGGGAAACATACCTGTTTCCCTTTTGGTGGTAATTACAACGAGCCAGTATGTTTAAAAAGTAGAACTAAGAATAGTTTTATTTGTTTAACATGTGTAAAAATACAATAAATAATACAATAAACCCTTAATTTAATACAATAAGACCTTATTTTAAAACGTAAAAAGCATTCTTAGTTACAAAATCAGGTGTGGATGGGATTTGGATTACAGGCTGTAGTTTGCCTACTCCTAGTCTAGACTTAAGGAAGTGATGGATAAAATGTTAATAAAGTAGATTAAATTTAAAAGTGGGCTATTGTTACAATCTTCCCCTCCCTCCTCCCTAGGAGAACCAGCGGTTGAACGTTACCAGCACACATCTGGCTCGAACCTAGCTCTTCCTGGTTTTGAAGCAAGTTCTCTATCCATTACACCAAAGATGTAAAATGTCCAGCCCAGAGGCCCCGAGCAGACTCAAAACTCCATAGTGCAGGCTGAACCAAATTAAAATGTAATTCGGAAATGTTTATCAAAATAAATGAAAGTCTGATATAATGTAGATAATGTTAATTTGTGGTTTTGTAGATCAAGATGCAGCCCCCAGAGATCTGCTTCAGTGTGAGTTTGATAGCGCTACAATATATCATACTGTGTCTCCAAAACTGTAGGGAACAACCTCTGTTTCTAGTGTTTGGTCTTCTAGTTCCAACATAATTCTGCTGTCTGAAAGCCTGTGAGTTCTATGTAGGAGACAGAAAGGGACAAGGCAGGACCAAAGCAGTTGTCTTGGTGTAGATTGGGTGGTACTCTCACCTTCATGTTTATCTGCATACTGTGCTCCGAAAGAATTCCATCATCTATTTTTTTTTTTGGATAGGCGATTGGGGTTAAGTGACTTGCCCAGGGTCACATAGCTAGTAAGTATCAAGTGTCTGAGGTCAAATCTGAACGCAGGTCCTCCGACTCCAGGGCCGGTGCTCTGTTCACTGCACCACCTAGCTGACCCAGAATTCCATCATCTAGAAAGAGCCAAAGGTGGCATTCACGTGCCTCCTGTCATGAATGGTTTGTCCATAGCCCTGTGTGCCTTTAGTACATATACCATGAGATCAGCAGTAGTCTGGGGCCCCCACTTTGTTGCATTCCTGATATGACATCTTCCCTTTGTCAAGGGCACACCCATAACAAATGCCAGGGATCCATGTCACAAGAACTCAGGTTTGGACTGACTATCCAGTCCAATTCTGGCCTGAATTATTTCTGTACCAGTTTTGGGGGGCTTTACTCATTCTAATCCTTAAAGGAGCTTAATCAGACCAGGTTCTGGCATCTGGTGGAGTTCTGGCACACCCTGCTCCAGTTACTGCGTGAAGACAGGCACCTGCCAGAGCCAGCTCCTCTCTGCTTACAAGAGCTGGCTTACATTTTCAGTGTGAGCATTTTCACCTTGGAGAATTAACAGGGCTTGATTTATTGTTTGATTGGTGATCTAGACGTGAGAAAGTGATGAAGAAAATGGTACTGAAGATTCAGCTGAAAAGTATGTCATGTGTACTTTTTTTTCCCCCTTGGGGAGAGCTGGTTGTTAAACATTTACCAGCACACCACTGGCTTGGTATAACTTACTACTTCATGAAGTAGTCAAGTCTACTTTTCGATCACATTAATTATATGGAGGTTTTGCCCAACATCAAGGCTACAGGAGCCTCTTTACAATCTGGACCCATTGGTCCTAAGTTGGCCCTGTGACCTGAGATCAAAACATGAGAAGAAACCTTAGTCACTACAAGAAGAAGCCAGGCTCTAAGGATGCCCCTTTATCTCAGCAGATAGGCCATTAGCAGAAGGGCCTCTGAGAGGATCAGGCAGATGCAACTTTCACTGACCACATTTTTGTGGTTAGGGCTGTACTTTAAAGTCCCTAGGGAGTTTTTTGGGGCTTTACTCATTTTAATCCTTAAAGGAGCTTAATCAGACCAGGTTCTGGCATCTGGTGGAGTTCTGGCACACCCTGTTCTGTCCCCCATGCCCTTTCTCCCACCAGCAATGATTATCCCTCACTTTTTTCCATCTCTGCTCTGTGTCTATACTCTGTCCTCTACAGGCCCAGACCCCCATTGGGCCTGCTATCTCTGGTAATTCTCTGTGCTCTCAGCTTTTTTCACCATTACTGAAATTTCCCTGTCCTACATATTGTTCTCTCATGGCCCTACCCTGTTTCTGTGTTATAATGAACTAATGCAATATCTCCTCCTAGTAGCCTATTTGTGTTTTAACAGAAGCTATTTAGAGACCATTTCTACAGCAGAAGCATGGCTGTCCTGGCAGGAAGTTCAGGACCCATGGGACCAGTGAGGAGAATGTACATACATTTAATCCTGCCTACAAAGAAGATGTATGAGTTCCCAGACTTTTTTATTTGAATGTCATTCTTTAATATTGTCAACACAGGAAATATACCAATGTATGACGAATTAGAGTCATAGCATCAAAGGGACAATAAAGGTCATTTAGTCCAACCCATACTTGAAGCAAAAATTCCCTCTGCAACCTCCCCAGCAAACAGTCATTTGATGCCTGCTTGATAAGCTCCAATTCCAGGAAACTCAATTTTTCTTGAAATAGAGAAGTGGAAACAATCTGGTTGCTTTGCCTCAATTCAAGGTAGAGCGCCCATTCATTTTCTCAAAGGAAAGGGGATCATTGTCCCACATACCTCTCGTGTTGTTTTTACTTAATGGCAAATGGTGGATTGTTTTTTGTTTGTGTTTCTGCTTTTGGCTTTGTTTTGTTTTTCCCATATATGGTCGGTCAGTACCTGTTTAAGTAAAGAATAAATACCATGCCACAGATATGATCTCTTAATGTCAGCTGGCAAGTTCCCAGGCAGGAAAGATTTAGAAACTCTGGGAAAGCATGTGATTTGACTTTGCATTTTTCTAAGTTGAAAATGTCACAGGCCATCAAGAACTAACTGTGGGTCACAGGTCACTCCGTATAGGCTATCTTTAGGACCAGTGCAACAAAGGTAATAGTTGAAATATAATTTTCTGTTCACTGCCTACAATGGCAATTGGAAAATGAAGCAAAATATCGGCTGATTGGTCTATATTACCTATGTGTGCTCTTAGCAATGTACTGTATCAGATAGAGGGCTGGCCTCTCTCAGAACCAGGAGGATCTGAGTTCAGGTCCTGTCTCTGACAGTTCCTGGATGTATCACCCTGGATAAGTCCCTTAACTTCTCAGTTCATTCCCTAGCCAATTTTCTAAGACTGTGAGTTAGTGAAGATGCCGCCCTCTACTTGTAGAAGGAGGCTTCTCAACTGGGATTTCGAATTGTCAGTGAAATCACAGGTTCAGTTCCTATCCTTATCCAACCGTTATATATTATTTGACCATTTAACCATCCACAAACAATTTGACTGAGTTTACTAGACTACTATAGCCATTTTATAGAATCATAGAAGATTACAGAGGTCATCTCACCCAACCTGATTATTTTACAGATAAGGAAATGGAGGCCCAGAAAGGTTAAATAACTAGTGTAAGACCACAAAATAAGTGACAGAGTCATATTTGAACTGACTCCAAATTTAGCACCCTTTCCTCTGTACCAAGTCATTTCTCAATTTATAACCTATAATAATGACAATTAATAATAATAACTAACATTTATGTCACAACTGCTATGTGCTTTATGAATGTTATCTTATTTGACCTTCACAACAACCCTGGGAGGTAGGTGGGATTATTATCCCCATTTTACAGATGAAGAAGACTGAGGCAGACAGGGGTTAAAAGACTTATCTAGGGTCATAGAGCTACTAAGTATGTGAGGCAGGATTTGAATCCAGGCCTTCCTAACTCAAGGCCCAATGCTCTATTCACTGTGCCACCTAGCTGCCCCTGTAAATCTTGCCAGGGCTAATTTGGAATATGTAAACTTACCACTGCTGAATCAACATATTACTTTTTTTCCCTTTAATTTCAGGAGATTTTGCTGTACTGTTAAGTTCTGGACTTGCTGTCAAAATCGCCATCTTAATGAATTTTATAAGCGCCCTCACTGCTTTCATAGGACTTTACATTGGCCTTTCGGTCTCCACCGACCCCTGTATTCAAAACTGGATTTTAACAGTCACTGCTGGGATGTTCCTTTATTTATCATTAGTGGAAATGGTAAGCATTGCTGCTTTTTCTGCGTTGATTCCTCTGAACACTGAATGTTTAAAATAGAGAATAAAGGTCCAAAGCCCATTGGAAAGGGTTTATCCAAGAGACAAGGCAGGCAGAGAGAATACAAAAGCCTAAGGAAGCATTGGCACTGGTTCGAGAGAAGACATTGTGACTGAGTCATTTTCAGCTGTGTCTGACTCTTCATGACAGGTGCTTTACAACTGTTACCCCTTTTAATCTCACAGAAACTCTAGGAGGTATTATTACCCCCATTTTTGCCATGTGAGTGGCGTGGTGGATAAAGTGCCCGGGCCTGGAGTCAGGAAGACCTGAGTTTAAATACGGACTCAGACGTTTACTAACTGTGTGACCTTGGGCAACTCACTTATCCCTTTTTGCCTCATTTTCTCATCTATAAAATGAGCTAGAGAAGGCAATGGCAAACTAATCCAGTATCTTTGTCAAGAAACCCAAATGGAGGGGCAGCTAGGTGGTGCAGTGGACAGAGCACCGGCCTTGAAGTCAGGAGGACCTGAGTTCAAATCTGGCCTCAGACCAAACACTTGACACTTACCAGCTGTGTGACCCCGGGCAAGTCACTTAACCCCAATTGCCAGACAGACAGAAAGAAAGAAAGAAAGAAAGAAAGAAAGAAAGAAAGAAAGAAAGAAAGAAAGAAAGAAAGAAAGAAAAAGACCAAGTGGATCATAAAGAGTCAGACACAACTGAAATGACTGAACAACTAATGAGGAAATTGAGGTCAACAGAGGTTAAGTGACTTGCCCAGGGTCACACAGCTAGTAAGTGTCTGAGGCCAAATTCGAACTCAGGTATTCCTGACATCTAGCTGCCTCTATAATCAACTCAATTCAATTCCACAAATATTTATTAAGTACCTACTATGTGCCCAATACTGTGCTAAGTCTATAAGTGAAATCTAAGAGAAGACTGCAAGTGAAAAACTCAGCTAACCAATAGTTTAATCTGTGTGGTGCTAAAAACCAATGGGAGTGATTTTTTTTAAATGGAATTGGTTAGTTGTTAGATTGAATTGGCTGAAAGCACTGGTTGTTTCAGAGAGCTTCCTTCTCTCTTTTGGTACGAAAGGGATGTGGCACCAGCTCTGCAGAATTGCCCTTAACATTCTATGTTGCTAGGCTCACTGTCAGGTTCACTAGCTTCATTCTTACTGAATGGAATAATGGTGATCTGACCACATTTTATAAAGGAATCTTGTTTCAGAAGATTTACAAGACGGTTTCTTAGCTCCTCCAGTTCTGAAGATCTCTGTGGAAGAAACTGGCCCTTAGGCCATTTGTAGGTCGCCCATTTTTAGATGTGTTGACAAGCCATAAAGAGGCTCAAGATGGATTCCAGGGTGATTGCTGAAGTCAAATAAGGGAGAGTAGGACAAATACAGCGACCTGAAAGCTAACAAAGGAAATGCTTTCAGCTGAAAACCATGTTCTCCCTCCAAGGAAGCTAAAAGCACATCTTTACAAAGCTTTCAAAAGTAGGTAAACTAAAATAACTGAAGCAAGACATAAGACAATCAGGTCAAGCTGGATGATAAATAATAAGAGATATTTATATAGCACTTTAAGGTTTGAAAAGTACTTGACATATGTCATCTCATTTCATCATTGCAACAACCTGTGAGGCAGGTGTGGTTATTATCCCCATTTTAGAGATGAGAAAGTTGAGGCTGAGAGAACTTAGGAAAGGAATCAGGAAGAAGTCTATCAAGCAAGTATCTCACCTAATACGACCCAAACCGTTCTGTAGAGGCTCTTTGAGAGTCTCTAGGTTGGAGAATTCACTCCCTTTTCATCTCTGCCTCTTAGACTCCCCAATCTCTTTTGATTGAAAAAGTGTTTGTTAAACACTACTACTGTCCTTTGAAGTTTAGCCTTGCCATTGCCTCCTAAAGAATCCATTCATCTGTCAGTACCTTCCCCCTCTCGAGTGACTTTGTATGATATAGATTATATATAGATAGACACACACACACACACATACATATTTACACAATATGTGAATGTGTGTACACATGTGTCTATATGGTCTATATATGTACGCATGATAATAGGTTACATATATCACACAGATATACATATATGTATATATGCAAACCATTATCATCAAAAGGACTGATGGGAAGTGTAGTTTTCCCAGCTGTAAGGAGGGCCTGAAGGATGTGGGAGATAGAAGCCTCGTGACTTAGGGGAAGCTTGAGAACTTTAGCTTTCTACATAGAGGGGAAGAACCTAGGGTCAACCTGCATCAGAGCTGAGCGGATAGCAAAGAAGGCCAGTGCTATGCCATACTAAAAGTAATCATAAGCAGATGGAGCCTTGTTTGATTCACTTAGCACTGAAGGAGTTATCAGCCTACAAAGAATTTGCTGTTTGCCTAGGTGGTCCTGTCTACTGTACAGAAGGACGTGGCAAAATTATCCCCTCCCTACTCTCTCTGTCTCCTCTGACTCATCAACGGTTGGCCAAATGGCATTGTTAGTTTGGAAACTTTATTGCTTTATTTAAATCTTATTTAATTTTTGATGAGGAATTTTGTCTTCAGTTAAAGAAAAGCCAGATTTTGTTGTATTCCAAGCAAGTGTTTGTTATAAAGGAGTGAATTGTGTGAGGGAGAGAAGGTTAAGAGAACCCCTGACACTAATCACCTTATATTTGCCTGGGAGTCTGTATCACTATCTGTATCTCCGTCACTAACTGTACAAAGAGGGCGTTCGCTTAGCTTATGTGTTGTTTTCTAAATAGACTGTTAGCTCCTTGAGGGTATGGAACTACTTCATTTTTATCCTTGAATCTCCAGCACTAACACAGTCCTGCCATTTTAAAAATTCCAACTGGACCTACAATTTCACTGAGGTATATAGCAGACTTTAAGGGCTGAAACTCCTGCTACCAATGCAGATCCCTAACTGTCTGGCACCTCTCACTTTCAGAGTGACTAGGGGACATTGAGAAATCACAGGTCCAGTCCCTCTCAGGAGACCATATACACATACAAGTACATACAAAATAAATATATAGAAGAGTGGGAGCAAGAGACATGAGCACCTGGGAGATTTACTGAAGGCACCATTAAGTGTGCATAGTAAAAATAGATTGAAGAACTTCATTTTGTTAGTTAGATTACTTTCTCATTGTCCCATAGCTCCTGTTTTTGTTTGTGTTTTTGCCCAAGTGTCCAATTTACTACTAGAAGGTAACTCGGGTCTCTAGAAGCATGCTAAAGGCACTACTGAAAATCATCTCAAATGCCAAAATGTGGTGGTTTCCATCACTAGGGCCCAAGTCAAATCTGGGTAAGAATAACTAATCTTTATATAGCACGTTGAGGTTTGAAAGTGCGTACTTTCCAAAAACAAGCTATGTGCTATTATAAAATAAGGACACAGAGAGTTTGACTTACCCAAGATCACACAGCCTGAACACAGCAGAGGGAGAACTTGAACCCAGATCTTTCTGACTATAAGCCCAGCCCTCTCTCCATTGTGCTTATCTGACACAGAGGTGTTTTATAAATACTTGCTACTCATTGATTACTTCCTTTCCATCAATAATAGCCACACTTCTTGGGAGTCTTAAATAGCTGGAGTCACATCTCATTGCATATGCTTATATATCAGGACTTGAACATGCTGCTGGGTTTCCTGGTTTTCTTCTTCCTGGTTCAAATTCACTTTTTTTGTGTGTGACCTATATACTATGACCTCACATAGTAAGACCTAGCCTACTGCTCTGTATATCTCATTCTGCCTCATTATTTTGCATTCTGAGACAGATTGTTCATCCCAAATGGGAAGATTCTTGATAACCTGACAAAGCAAAGAGACATAGTCCCATGGAACCTCACTCGGCCTTCGATCAAAAGGTCATTTTGTCGTCAGTTTCCTGCTTCTAGTATCTGCCAGCCATCAGAAAGCAACAAGACTGATGTCCTCAGAGTCCTTAGCTAACAAATGCCCTGACCTTATTGCAGAGAAATGTTTTCCAAATTTATACACGCATACCAGCAAAAAAAGATAGCAAGTCAAAATCTCTTTGAATTTCCTGGGGCTACTTCCTCCAGTCAAGGTCAGATCCTCCGGCCTTCTGAGTAAAATATTGCAGCAAACATGGACCTTTCACATAGCAACAACTTTTTTTCTGTTGATGCACTCCTCCACCCAGCCAAGGATAATAGTCTTCCATCAAGTGAATAAAGCCGAGTTTCATGACTCTGCTGTAAAGCAAAGAAAATAAATGACAACAAGTAAAGACGGAAAAAATTACTCTGCTGGTTATTTACTGAACTCTGGAAATTTACCAGGAACCCTTTTGAGCTGGATTAATCAGAAACAAGAAGCTAGATAGTTTCCTTGGGTGTGTGTGTGTGTGTGTGTGTGTGTGTGTGCGCGCGCACGCGTGCGCATGCACGTGGGTTTCAAAGCATTATGGCATAATGTTTTTAAATGAAAAAATGGAGACTGGAAAAAGGTTTTATAATCAATAAATGCCCCCACCCCACCTGGCCCCCTACCCGCCTCCAAAGGAAAAGGAAGAGTATCTTGTGCAGTGAAAACAGCCTTGAAAGTGCTCCAACAAAATGCCTCTCCAAGTACTATCATACTCAGGTCAAGAAAAGAAAGGTTTACGCCAGCTGTGTGACTCTGGACAAGTCACTTAACCCCAACTGTCTCGCAAAAAAAAAAAAAGAAAGAAAAAAGGTTTCGGTTTTGGTGGTAGGAAGAATCAGATTCCCTGCCACAATGATCAACAATCTTTGGATCTACCTAGAGACAAAGAAGTGAATATCTCCTTATTCTCCTTCTTAGTGAGGAGTCGAAACCTTGATTGTCTCTCAGCTTTGTTTGAACTTGACATAGAGTTTTGTTTGTCGCTGTTTCTTCTGGCATTCACTCATTTTCCCTTCTCTTTCTTATATTGGAAGCAAAATTTCATTCCTCCTTTAGACGTCTCTCCTAAGTCTTGAAT